CCGTCATCCTGTACGAACACGCTGAGGCGCCACCAAGACGGCCTGTCCTACACGTGATCGTGCGAGGTGACGATATCCCGACCCACGCTATCCCATCTGCAATGATACTCTGACGCGATCTTGGGACTCAGACTCGTCCTATGACCCGGACTATTTCACCCCTACAATCAACGAGCTCACGGGAATTCCACCGTGCCACCACTAGGGACCCTCGGTGCTCCGATTTCCCTTCCCCCGACCACACCTACTACTTCACCCACCCGGGATTCGTTGAGATCACCACCAGTTTCCCTCCTTTCCGCCTCCTTCTCCCGTATTATCAACTCAGTGTCGTTCCGTGGCCGGCCATAGCCCCCTATTGGCCCAATACGTTTTGCGTGAACTGCCGACGCAACGGCGCGTAGAGCGCTCCGGAATTCCGAAGGCCCAACCCAGGTACGTGGCGGCCCCCGACGGCCTAACTTTTCAGGACCACCTCCACCACGGAGGAATTTTCCCGTAACCCGTCGTCCACATTGTCCTGGTCCCTTGGGACTGTGAGACCCTTGCGTGCGCACCCGTCGCTCGCCCAATTACATTCATATCCTTAAGACTCCCCCACTTCCCCCAAAAATCCTTGGCACACCCCTTTTCGTACTTCCTGGCCCACACTCCACTCCGATCAGGAAGTCACGCTGGGCGTGAGGTTGGTATCGGAGCCCGACATGTGGCTAGGGTCTTAGGATTGATAGGACGTTAATTAAGCGATCTGGCTAACTGTGGGCGACCTCGCCCTCGGAACGCGCATAGACGCGACCCTATCGTCACCAGAAGCAGATTGGCTAATCGACGAGCAGCCAATATGGCTGCCAACGTGCAAAACCCAGTTCCGCAACAAAATGTTAATCCACCTAATCAACCTGCCCCACATGCACGAGCTCTCATGTCGCCACCAAATCTCTATCTATTTGATCCGGTGCACCATCTCGCAGGAGCATGGTTGGCCACGCTTAGAGCACAGCAGTACGATGATCACGAAGCACAGATCAACATTCCGGCTCGAATGGGAGGAGACGCTCATCATTGGTATAGTACCTATGTATGGGTGGATCTCCCGACCTTCGAACGAGATTTTATGAATTGATTTGATTATGGCCACCCTGAGCAAGCGCTGTACATGATCAAGGATCGAGTGCAAAAACCGCTTGAATCCGTTGCCGAATATCGAAACCGGTTCTACAGAATATTCGTAAAAACTGAGCGAGGTGAGCAAGTAGGGAGAGATCTGTTCATTGACGGACTCCGCAGTCGAACAATAAGGGCTAAGTTGCGAAAGCAGTTTTCCCCCATCACCCAAACGCTACAACAAATTATGGCTGCTGCGGAAGAAATGGAACGGAAGTTCGCGGCGAACTTCCTGGAAGGAGAAGATTACCCTAGAGACGGAGATTCGACCGAGCTCGCTCGAGCAAGAGCAGAGCTGGCTGCCTTAAAAAACAAATTCGAAAAAATGGGGTTCGTATCAGGACCTGTCACCTATATGGAACAAACAGGCCCCAAACGAGTAATTCTAAGTGAGACTCGGAGCATTTCTGCTCCTATGATGCCCCCGCCCGTCAGGGCATTACCCCCGCCGCCGGTAGAGGCTCCTGTACGATCAAACGAATCGGCGACCATTTTCGAACTAACCAAAACTTTGATTAGTTTGATCCAAGAAAGCAAAAAGGAACAGCGAGAGCACAATGCTCGGCTGGAAACCATGATGAGGAACATGCGACCTATTGCGGTGCGTGCCCCTCCGATGTAACAAGGATTAGCCCCCGCCCCTGCTCTCGGAGGAGCTGCGAACAATCTGAATGTTTGCTACGCCTGTCATCAGCCCGGACATCTAGCCCGTGATTGCCCCCACCGACCCCCACAACAACGGATCGGAGTCGCACCTATGGCTGCAGCCCCCATCGCCAACGGACCTGGACGAGTCGGAGCCTTGATGGAAGAAGGAGAGGGTGGGGGAAGTGCCCTGGCCACCACGGAAGAGGCCGCCGAGCTAATTCCGCTAGATCAGTACGTATCGCTGGGATATCCTGGGCTAAACATGTTATTCGTTAAAACAGTACATTATTGTGTGTACTATTTTGAAAGGAATTTATGATACAGTGTATAGTCTGCTGTAGTATTCCAGATCCGGATACATCCGAACAAGGAGTAAAGCAACTTCGAGGCGAGGAGCACAGTCAGTACATATAGTTGCTCTCCTCTCGTGGTTCGGATGTGTCCAGATGTAGAACACCACAGCAGAGTATACACTGTGTTATACGCCTCTGAGTCGGTACATATATCTGCTACCACTGTGTTATAATATGTACTGCTGCCTCAATACATATATCTCCTGTGTCCATATGTGGAACACCAGAACAGAGTAATATATACCACTGTGTCATAGTTTCACTTGGAGTTGAGCATCCCACTCATCCGAATCAGAACAGTATAATGACACAAACTCGAGTTTGTGAGTAAAACGAGTTGTGGCTCTTCACAGACTTAGAGAAGTAGGATGACCTGTATTTAGAAGTGTGAGGACCAGAATGAATTGGAGTTCTGTACCGATGATCGTGTACATGTATAGAGCGAGAGAGATAGAAAGAGAGAGAGAGACAGAAAGAGCGAGAGAAAGAGAGATAGAAAGAGCGAGAGACAGAGAGTCTTAGAGAGACTGTACTTAATTTTCAGGAGACGCAGGGTCGAGCACACGCGTAGACCATCAACCGCGTTTTTTTAAGCATTTCAGACGATCGTTGTAGGAGAGCAGCAAGGTAATGTGAATTTCCAAGATAAGCGAAGCTCGGATGTATCCGAGATCACAGGAGATAGACAGACAGAGGAAGTCCGCAAGAAATGGTCGTGTACATTTGAAGAGCGAGAGATATAGAAAAAGAGAGAGAGACAGAAAGAGCGAGAGACAGAGTGTCTCACAGAGACTGTACTTAATTTTTTCGAGACGCCGCACGGATGACGCAGGGTTGAGCACACGCGGAGATCATCAGCCTCGCTTTTAAAAGCATTTCAGACGATCGTTGCAGAAGAGCAGCAAGGCAATGTGATTTTCCCAGATAAGCGAAGTTCGGATATATCCGAGATCACAGGAGATTGACAGAAAGGAAGCCCGCAAAAAATGACATATTAGCACGCCAGAGGGCTGAGAGATGGAAAAGACAAGCACCGTATAGTCACCCACAACATTTCGTGTTACGGACGTATCCGAAGTGTCGAACTAGTATAGACCCTTCAGTTTGAAGCTTCCCCTGTGCTTTTTGGGACACAGTTCAAGAAGTATATTTTGCGAAACTGAGAGAGAGAGAGAGAGAGAGAGAGAGAGAGAGAGAGAGAGAGAG